GTTGACTTGAACGAGAAGCTCATCAGATCAGACCTTCACATTGGAAAACAGGACAAGGACCTAAACAGTTGTTTCGCAAAGCTAGCACTGGTTGAGCACGGCGATAAACTCAACAAACAGGCTAGTGAAGAACAGAGTTTTACCATTGAATCTCTGCGCAACGAACTGTTTGCTGTTCAAAGTCTTGCTGGAGAAAGAGAAACTAAAATAGTGGTTCTTAAGGAGGAACTCGGTCGGGTAATGGAGGAACATGTGGCACTTCAGAATCACTGTTCTACCCTTGAAGAAAGATTGCAAAAGAGTGAAGAAGTTGTTCGAATGATCAACAAGGCAAGGGCGTCATATGCTGAAGTTCAAAAACTGAGTCAGCAGATTGGTTCATCCAACCCAAGTAAGAATGTCCAGAACCAGAAACTGAAAGGGAAGGTTGGAGAATCAAGCTCTTCACTGAGTAAGGCCGATCTAACTTTTGTTAAAGAAGGATACTCATTTGACTCCAAGAAAGGTAAGCCACACTCTCCAAAGGTTCAGCACAAGAATACTGTTAAGAACTTTGTACCTGTCTGTCACTACTGTGGGATTCGCGGTCATATTTGTCCCAAATGCTATAAAATGCATAATAATATTTATACGGGCCGAATTAATGACTGGAGTCCTCATGGTGTTCCTATGAAAGCTCCTAAATTGAAAGTTGATATAGTGAACCATGAGCAGAAAAAGATCTGGGTTCCTAAGGATCGTAAGAACTTCTGTCTATCCTCCATACTTGCTTTGAAATCCACATCCAACTCTGATTGGTACTTTTATAGTGGTTGTTCTCGTCATATGACAGGTCTGAGATCTAACTTGACCGATATTATGCCTGTCTCTTCCAGTTCTGTCACTTTTGGTGATGGGGCAAAAAATAAGGTTCTTGGAGTTGGGTGCTTGAATGTTCCTGGTCTGCCCAAACTTAAAAATGTTCTTTTGGTTCAAAACTTGAAAGCAAATCTTTTGAGTA